CCACCACTTATTACTGATAGTGGTAATTTACAGTCTGATAGATTCATTAAGTTGTCCCAGTAATAATGTTCGAAACATACTTCTACCTAGTTTACACTTGTGCTATATTTCTGTTTACAATCGTTATATATTAATCAAATTTCAGATTAGCTTATTGGCCCTGTCATAATCTTGAGGTCCCTGAAGGAGTTGAAAAGGGATTCTTCCTGAAGGAGTTAACCATTTCCTAGTGCTTGTTTGTTCAATTGGATAAATATTATAAAGTAATGTATTTCTTATTTTTCGGTTTTAAAAAAGAAAAAATTGTTCAGGTGAGCCTTACTGCCTCTGAGTATCTGATTTATTATGTAATTAATTGTTGCAATAATTTTATAATCATTAACCATTAATTATTTAAAATAACATATTAAAACACTAAGTACGGCGTCTGAGTACTCTCAGTTCTTTGATGAATTTCCTTATTGGCTGCTAGCTTCTACGCGCTTAATGGCTGCTGTTATTGGCTGCTAGCTTCAGCCTGGTCCTTAATTAAGGTCCCATTAACTGACGTTTTTCAAACAAATTGTTAATAGGCCATTATTTACACATTGAAATTCTACGTTTTTTTCTGTTCACGTGATCAAAAGGATTGAATCGCACGTCGATGTGACTGAGATCAACAGCGGATGTTCACTCCTCCATGACACCTGATCCCGTTTCTGATTTTTTTTAAATGACGTACCGTGTTTTCTCTGTTCCAGTTTTGTACACTAGTATAATTGTTTAAATTGATTTTGAGCTTGAATAGTGGTGGCATTTCTCTTCGACACTCATAATGAATCTGATGATACTATTGATACATAAAACAAACGATTAATAGCAAAATATAGCCATAAAGATAATGAAAAAGAATGTGGAACAGTTGACTGCAAAACCGAGACAAACAGACAAACTAAAAACGAGCGCCGAAAAGAAAACCTACATAACATTCTTGCTGAAAAATAACGTTTTCTTCTTTTATTTAAATTAATAGAAGAGGACAATTAATCTAAATTCATTGTCAGGATTTTTATATATTTTTTTTAATCATTATTATTATCTGTATATTAGTTTTTCTTAAATTGTTTTTTTTTTTTAAATATATGAGTCAGTTTGCGATCAAGTTGACAAAAATCGAATAAACCACGAACAAGATGATTGCTACCTAATCTACATCGCTTAAAAGTTTGAGGTTTGACAATAAATCCATTTTATTATGAAGAAGCATTTTAACACAGATAGAAAAATCGGTTCAAAGAAAATTATTCAAAATAATGCAAAAATATGAAAAATTGGAGAAGATTGGAGAAGGTTTGTGAATTTTGCCATTGTGCTCATTTCATTTTCATGCTAATTTTAGCGTTGCACACCAGAAAATAAATTTAGGATGCAATAACAGATGTAGGGTGAGTTCACCATGCATCGGACACATACCTTGCTTCGGACAACTTTAGGCAATAAACTCTCTTTCAACTTAAAAGTTCTGTGTATTTATTTGTTTCTGTCATAAAGATGAAGATTTAAATTTTTTAATGATACCGATTGTGTTTATCATGTTGTGATAAAAATACCCCGCAAATGGCCTTGAAGTTACGTCATATTTTACATCATCAAAGGGGAATAACCCGAAATTCGTGATTTTGCAATTTTTAGAGTTATCGTTCTTTTAAATTCGACTTCCACGGAACGAGTCGGACTTTGGTGAATTTTGTCAGGGATTGGTAATTTTACATAAATTATAAAGAAATTTCACTTCAATGTTTGTTTAATTCCTATTAGAGCTGGTTTTTACTAGTATGCTAATTTCACCGTACATCGGACACAAATTAACCATGCATCGGACACTTTTCGATGCAAAGGTAAACACTACCATTTTCATACAGAACCCAGCTGACAGCTGTTTTTTGCGGAAAAAGAAATAAAAATTCTATATTTTCAGTCAAAATACAAGTTACCGATATATGACGTCTGGAATTTTACTCAATTTATTTCTACAAACCAGAGTATGATAAACCAGGAGAAAAAGGCGCGAATTACGGCATTATAAGCATTTTAAAGCATTTCTAAGGCAGAGTGGGGTCTCTAGAATCGTTCTACATTTGTGCAATAATATTGTCGATTAAATTAAAGTTGAGGGTTATTTTTTAGATAAAAGATGAAAATATATCCATATCAAGGATTTTAAAGCACTGTGATAAAGGTATGATATTTTTCCGGTCTCCATACCGTCTGTCCGATGCATGGTGAACAATGTCCGATCCATGGTGTATTCTCCGTTTTTCCTAAAAGCTCGATTTTTGGGGATATTTTCTCAATAAAGGGCATATAATTGTGTCCTAAATTGTTATTTTAATCACAAACTAAATGTTAAACTCCATTTTGATAATTTTCCGTCGGTAGCGATATCGCTAGAACTTGTTGAAGTACAAGGGTATCCGATGCATGGTGAATTCACCCTATATCTAGATAAACATTGTTTTTATTTTTCTCGTGTAATTTTTTCAGATTGTACAAACAGTCACACCTTGGTGCTGTTATAATATTCAACTTTGAACTCTTCTCAATACAATGCCCTTAGAACAGATATATGCATTTCAAATCCTTGAGACTTTTTGTCTATTTCCTACAATTTTTTTAACTTCATATAAACATGATAAATGGGTAATCCGAATTACCGAAATGCCCCCTAAAACTACCGAAATGCCCCTTGTATTAAATTCTAACAGGCATTTTATGATAATTTATGATATTTAAAAAAAAAAAAAAAACTGTGTATTTTGAACACAAATATAAAATAATTCCCTCTAATATTGTGACCTCTATGAGCGATAACTCTTGCAACAATGTCTCAGCGGGAAGCATGTTATTATACCCCCCGCTTGAAAAGTGGGAGGGTATATAGTAATCGGTATTTCCGTCCGTCCGTCTGTCCGTCCTTCTGTTACGCTTTAGGGTATCCATCTCTTATCCCCAACTCCTCGTATACCACTGAGTGAAATTTAATGAAACTTTCACAGAATCTTTATTACATATTGCCATTGTGCACCTCCTATTTTACTTTTTGATCCAACACATATTTTGGGTTTCCTGGCCACAACAAAACATGGACTTTTCCATCATAATCATATGGGAGGCGGGGGGTATCATTTAGTGAGCTCATTGCTCACAGTACCTCTAGTTTTCCGTTGTAATTTTACATATTTTATGATTTAATGATTCCTCTTCTGTTTTCTCTCTCCATCTCTCTCTCTTGTGTTTTGTTGACAAAATTTTATTCCGCATGTCTTGTCAAGTATTTTAAAAGAAGAAGAAAAAAGTATATATGACAGAAGTACAAGATGTAAAATACACTGTTTTATTTACAGTACCTCATAAGTCATGTACCGTGCAAGAATAATAACGTAAGTTTTTTGAAAAAGATTTTTAGAATTCAACTTCTAATAATCAAAAGCTGTTTATAAACTAGAGGTACTGTGAGCGATGAGCTCACTAAATGATACCCCCCGCCTCCCCTATGGTTATAAGTGGTGAAAAAGTCCATGTTTTCCTGTGGCCGGGAAACCCAAAATATGTGTCGGATCAAAAAGTAAAATAGGAGGTGCACAATGGCAATATGTAATAAAGATTCTGTGAAAGTTTCATCAAATTTCATTCAGTGGTATGAGAGGAGTTACGGATAAGAGATGGGTACCCCAAAGCGTAACAGACGGACGGACAGACAGACAGACGGACGGACGGACGGACGTACAGACGGACGGACGGACGGACGGATGGAATTAACGATTACTATATACCCTCCCGCTTTTCAAGCGGGGGGTATAATAAAATGCAATGCACAATTTGACAAGGTCAGCCAAAGTGTACAGGAAACGACAAACTTAACTGCTGACTTTGACAAAGAGCATTTCAGTAATTTGAGGTACCACATATAAATTGCTTTAACAAGCTATTGTGAATAACTAAATAAATCTATTTATAGCTATTTCAAGCTATTATAGCTTAATCAAGGTTTGTGCTGGACTTGTCCAGGCTGCAGATCTATAGCTCACTAAAATTTCTGGATAGTTAATGTAGGAAAGTTTCATAATACATGTATACACAAATCCTCATATCATGCCCTAATGAAAATGCTGTCCTGTCTTAGAACACACACAGAATAAAACAACCATATATATCCAATGTAAAAAGTTTTGTCCAAATAAAACCCAAGTTTTTTATAGGGAGAGGGGGGTTCATTGTGTATGGGCAGTCAAAGCTTTATTGATTCATATAGATATTACTTCATGGATAAGAATCTTTGCACTGGGGATTAAATGAACCAATGTGTTCACAGTTTTGCTTTGAGGGGAATGTACATTCATCAGTAAGGGTGACACTGACTCATGAAAATCCACTAACATTCATTGCTCATCCAACACACACATACCCTCACAGTGACACACTCAAACAATGAAGACTCAACAGTATTTTGATCTACAAAAAAGATGTTTTTATTGTTCTGTATAATTGTCCTTAATGTAATAGGCTGTTTTATTTTAGCTGCAAGTAATTTAATCTTAATCATGAACTTTTTTTCATGAAATGAAATAAAGTAATCTGGTTTCAGGAACCTATGGAACAGTATTTAAAGCCAAGAACAGAGAAACACATGAAGTTGTCGCCTTAAAGAGAGTGCGTCTGGATGATGACGATGAGGTATATGATACAAACAATGATTTGATCTGAACAAATTTTATTATGCAATAAATACTGTAGAAGTACTTTTTTCCACATAGTATTAATTTACGCTATGTAAGCGGTCACAAATTTTCAGCGAAAATTTGTCCAAGCGTACTTAATATTAATGTAAGGCATTTAGTGACAGTCAAGGAAATCCTCGTAAATTTCTACTCAAGAATTAAACAGAAATTGAGATTCCGCAGAATTATGACCCAGTGGAAAAAAGTACGTCTACAGTACATAAATAGATTAGGTAGAACATATTTGTATTTGTTCATGTAAACTGTAATTACTGTAAACCAACTTTTATTTGTGAGCATGTAACATCCACTAGTTTTGCGACCTTCTTTTTCTCAAGAGCATATCTGGTTGTGAATTAATTACTGGAACATTTATTCACCAACTTATTTATCATTGTGTGTTTGCAGAATTTTGTCTCGTTAAAATTTGTAGGTGTGAATGAATGCCATGGATTCAAAACTGAAGAATTGCAAATAAAGATGTAATAATGATCATTGTTTTACATTATTCCTGCTATAATTACATGTAGTCCTAAAAGTGTGAGAAATACATTCTTTAGAAATGTTTCTTAAAATTAATGCATTTTTCTGAATTAATAATGTTAATGTTAATTTGATAGGGTGTTCCAAGTTCAGCTTTGAGAGAGATTTGCTTGTTAAAAGAACTGAAGCACAAGAATATTGTGAGGTAAGCAAACTTTCTACAAAGCGTCCTAGGGTGATGGAAATATAACTTTGTTGAAAGTTGAAAGGAAACCCCATTTTTTCTTAGGGAAGATAGTGAAGAATTAGTAAAAATTTAAAATCTTCATTATATACTGTGTTTATTCAAATCATGAAACCCATGTCATGATATATAAGACTGCAGAGTATTAATTGGCAAGCAGCTTACATCATTTCTATCTGTTTTGATTGTAACAGATAGAAATGACGTAAGCTGCATATTTCCAATCTTACCAGTTAATGTTCCGTGGTCTTATCAGTTTATTCAAATCGCAACTCCTGGAATGTACTTTGTAGGTTTGGGTCACACATGTTCATCAAAATTTACATAAGAATATATATAGGAAGAATCTTTGAAATTCTTTTCAGGAACAACACATTCATGATAAGCATGATTAGTATTAGGTAGTGTAGATGCTAAACTCTTCAGATCAGATGAAATAAGTTCTAAAGTTTTTAATACTGCAATTCTTATGAAATAAGTTCTTAAGTAAATAAGTTTACTGTAAGTCTTGTGTAATAAGTTCTGAATTAAGTTTTACTGTAATGCTTGTGTTATTAAGTGACAAAGTTCATATTTTATTCCAAACAGGTTACATGATGTCCTTCACAGTGAGAAGAAACTGACCCTGGTGTTTGAGTATTGTGACCAGGATCTAAAGAAGTACTTTGACAGCTGTAACGGGGAGATAGATCAGGACATTGTTAAGGTGAAATAAACCATACTTTATCTATATTGTAGTGGTATGTGAAGAACGGTTGAGACAATATGAACTAAAGGTCTGTGTCACAGTAAATGCTGGCATGAAAAAGATCCCTCACTGCTCTATGGCCATAAGTGCTGAGTATAGAATATAGTATAGAATTTGCAGCTCTCCACTGGCAAGTGGTGGCGTCTCCATATGAGTGAAAATTTCTCAAGAGGGATGTTAAACAACATACAAACAAACTACATGTACATGTATATTGTAAAGAGAGATATCTGTACTTTAAACTAAAAAAATTACAGTGTCTTGGCAAGCTAGGAAAATTACTGTAAACAAACTTTTGTTTCAAATAGGAGTCATAATTTTATGCAGTCACATTTTCTTCTGACACACTTTATTTTAGGCCCAGCAATATCAGCAAAAGCCTCATTGCAGTCACCTGTGTTATATGTTTATTTAATTATTTCCTCTTGTCAGTAATGTTGAAGTAAGCTTTCATTTTTCAGTCCTTCATGTACCAACTGCTAAGGGGACTGGCCTTCTGTCACAGTAACAATGTACTACACAGAGATCTGAAGCCCCAGAATCTACTGATAAACAAGGTAAGCTCATGATGAGTCTTCTGATAAACAAGGAGAGAACTCAAGATAAAGCTTCAGAATCTACTGGCAAAGAAGGTAAACTCACAGTGGTATGTTCATATAAAGTCAAACGTTTGTATCTCAATCAAATGCCATAAATTTTTTAAAGTGATTTAGAAGTCCCAACCAATGGCAACCACTTGATCTCTAAGTTGAAGTATTTTAGCCCTTAATATCTCAAATCCTTGAATATCTCAAAAGTTTTTTTCTTGGTCCCATAGAGTTCAAGATAATGATCTTTTACTGTTACATGTATGGCAGTCAGTTGGGTTCGATCACTGGTGGCCAGATAGCCCAGTTGGTAGAGCACCTGCTGGAGTTTCACTGGGCCCAGGTTCGAATACCAGATCGGTCTGCTGCTTTTTCTCCTCTCCCGTTACATATGAAAGAAATTTCCAGTGTTGCAAAGTAGAAACAATGAATTGAAAATAGAAGTTAGCACTGCTGTACTGCACTGTCTGAATATTGATTGAATGCATTGCACTTGGAGATTTAATTTGTTATGACAGAATCACGGATTGTTAATATTCATTTTATATTCATATACATACTCTTTTGCAGAATGGTGAACTGAAACTAGCAGATTTTGGTTTGGCTAGAGCATTTGGAATACCAGTGCGGTTTTATTCTGCCGAGGTTCTGTGAATTTTTTATCATAGTTATTAGTCTTTTTATGAATTAAAGCAATATTTTTACTGTAAGTTTAAAGTAGTACAAGAGATGTAAATATTATTAAAAGATTATTAAGATTTTTTTTTTTAATTGTAGCTATATTACTTGGTCACAGTATTTTATCATTTATACTCCCTCTGATTCTTGAACTATTTAATTTAAGGGTATGGTATAGACCTTCTGACATTCTGCTTGATTTATTAAATATTTTACATTGTTTGTTTGTCTGTTAAGGTGGTTACGCTGTGGTACAGACCTCCCGATGTTCTGTTTGGAGCCAAAATGTACTCGACTTCCATTGACATGTGGTCGGCGGGCTGTATATTTGCAGGTTCATTTTTGAACTGAATTTCAAAACAAATTCATTTCTTATATTTACATTATTTTTCTGATGAGTTGCCACAAATTATGACATTTTTTTCCAGAAATGACCAATGCTGGCAGACCACTCTTCCCAGGCAATGATGTGGAAGACCAGCTCAAAAGAATTTTTAAGTATCCTTTAAAACCTCAAAAAGTAATATAAAGGCACACATGCTTATCTGTTATTTTTAAATTCATATAGATAAGACTTGATAAGTAGTTCTGGATTGGGGTTAAATTCTCCAATCTTAATTTAAATATATATAATCTTTTTTTTGAAGGAGATGGCTAAAATAGGCTTTGCCTGCAGCACAATCCCATTTACTTTCATTTGTGAATACTTTTTTATAAATAAACAAATAATCCTTGACATTGTAAGATTGCTTGGAACACCCACAGAGGAGTCCTGGCCAGGTATTAGTCAACTCCCAGAATACAAGGTAAACAGGGCCCCTTACAGCATTTGTATTAGTCAACTCCAAGAATACAAGGTAAACAGGGTCCCTTACAGTATTTGTATTAGTCAACTCCAAGAATACAAGGTAAACAGGGCCCCTTACAGCATTTGTATTAGTCAACTCCAGGTAAACAGGGCCCCTTACAGCATTTGTATTAGTCAACTCCCAGAATACAAGGTAAACAGGGCCCCTTACAGCATTGTATTAGTCAACTCCAAGAATACAAGGTAAACAGGGGCCCCTTACAGCATTGTATTAGTCAACTCCAAGAATACAAGGTAAACAGGGGCCCCTTACAGCATTTGTATTAGTCAACTCCCAGAATGTAAGGTAAACAGGGCTCCTAAGAACATTTGTATTAGTCAACACCCAGCATGCAAGGAATCTGGGATGTTTCGCCGATTCTGTTTCGCACTGAGAATATTTCATTTATTTTGTAATAATTTAAGATAATTTATTAAATCTTTGATATAAATATGTGTTGTATGCTCAAAATCATGACTTTTGATAATATGCGGTGCCACAGGTAACGGATCCTAAATGTTAATATGGTGCCTGTTTGCTCAGCGTGTGTTTTCAACAATTTAGTTGTAATTAGTTGTATCAAAAGGTGAGAATTATTTCATTATAGCAATTATAAAGTCGTAGAGCAATTATCTGCTTGAACTTGAAAACATATAATTTGTGTTATTGAGAACATGTGTATAGAATAATCCACCAGGAAGTTTGTTTGTCAAATTTAATGTTCATTAATATTATACAAAATTTCTATACTTACATCAATATTTACAGATATTATAATATTTTTTTTGCAAAACGAACGAAATAAATAGCATACATTTATGTTCTGGGAGCGAAACATCGTGGGGCGAACCATCTAAGCACGAAAAAGAATCGGCGCGAAACATCGCGAGGTGCGAACCATGCATCGGCGCGAAACATCCCGTTACCCATGCAAGGTAAACAGAGTACTTTACAGCATTTGTATTAGTCAACAGGGCCCTTTAGAGCATTAATGGCAATATGTAAATAAAGAAAATAATCCCTTTCAAAATACAAAAATCACCAGATTTTGGTCAAAAGTATTTATTCTTATGAAGAAATAAAGATATATTAAGGGCTGGCCCAAGAATGTTGGCTTGGGTAGCTCAGTTGATGAAGCATCTGTTGAGTTATGCAGGGGTCCTAGGTTATATTTGTTGTCAACCATTACATGTTTTTTCTTTTCATTCCTTGTTAAAGAATATTAACACAGTAAACATTAATAGTGATGTGTTGCATGTATATTTTTTGCTATCATGTGATTTGGAAATTAAGCCTGTTAGGTATTTTTTCTGTGATGCATATGTGATACTGAACCAATCTTCAACCTAATATACAAGATACTGTTAATGTATTACATTTGACGTGTACGATATTTGGCAAAAATTCAATTTTCAACAAGTTAGCGTAGATTTGATTTAGCGCTGTCTGAAGTTGCTGGTTATAAAAGTTAATAAACAAGACATTTAGCGATGTAGTTGAATTAGTTGACTCTGCTTTCCGCCAAAATCGCTAAAAAGAATACGCCGCTAAATGTAATACGTTTACAGTACTCTATATATGTATTCTTGTAATTACTACATGTAGTGACAAATCAGTGGCATCTGTTCCCTTTGTATCTATTGACGAGGTAGTCCTCTGAATTTTGCCCATTCCCTATGTATCATGTCAGTACAACATGGATGCAAGTGGTCCCCAAAGTTAAATCCAAAGGGACGTGACCTCCTACAGGTAATATTATTTAACAATTTGGACAAACATTGATAAATGAAACTATTGTTTATGGTTAAAAACATGAAAAAGTTTAATTATGCATCAGATTCAGTTCTAATTTTTTACTGAATTCTTAATTAATTTTAAATACACATGAACTTCATTGTCTCATTAAAACCATTGATATTTTGATATGATTTATATATCATCTCGACTTTTACTTTATGTATTTTAACCTTGCTATCTCAAATCATTGGATATCTCAGTATATTTCTAAAGTTCTATTTCTCAGATTTGAGTAAATGATGTTTGACTGTACTTGATTTTTTTTTACAATTAATTCAACACTGTTTACATGTAATTTAAATATTGATTAATAATTCCTCTGTCTTTTATTTTTATCTATTTTATATATTTTATTTTTACCTGCTCTCCCCTTTCAGCGGCTCCTGATCTGTAACCCACCAGGACGACTGTCGGCCGAGGAGGGCATGCTTCACCAATACTTCAGTGACCTTGACCCTGCCATTAAACTTGCTACAGATAACTCCGCACTCATTGTACAAGGGAGATAACCCATTAGGTTCATTTTAGGAGACAACAAATTCTAGTCAAGAGTGTATGATCTCATCGCTTAGGGAATGTACATGTGAATTGTTCCTGGCATATTGAAGGGGTGTAAAATGTTTATTCTTGGCTGAATTTTAAAAGAATGGTCATCTAAAGAGATTGTCAAAAGACGTGTTATTTTTAGTTTGTATAAAGATGTGATTTACATGTATATGCAGCTGAGTAATTCAGTGGGAAACCAATTTCAGCTCCAAAAACAAGCATGTACATATACAAGGAAAATTTGAATTAAGCATTGTTTGTACATAAAAGTAGTGAATTGAGAAGGAAAAGGGAACGTTTTTCAGAAGATGTATGGCTGTGATTTGTTTGAACATGTTTTGTTATAGATGTAAATAATTTACATTAATTTATAATTTTTAAAGAAAACTGTATATGTTATACTCTATAGCTATTCAAGGGATATACAGTATAATTCTGAGTGTGTATTATTTGGTAAGATATCAGATTCATAAAATCTACTTAAAAGTCAGCATGCACATATTGAAAACATGTAAAAATAATAATAGAATTTTGATAGATGTAAAAATGAAAAGATAATTACATGTATGTTTTAATGTATAATTATTCTGGTAAACAAAAATTTCCTGAAAATATGACATATTCAGAGTACCTTGAATGTTAACATTTTAGTCATTTGATGACTGTATGTACCAGAAAAATGGTGAATGACCACTTTTTCCAACATCATGTTAGTTAAGTACTTCCTAATTTGTTTTTTATTTTTTATTTTTAGCTAAATATTTATCTAATTATGTCATGGTCACCACAGTCCATTTCTGATGCTCACCATAATTCAGGGTACTGTAAACCAACTTTCATTCGCGTGTAGAAAATTCCAAGTTCGCGAGATCCTCATTATCACGAATATTTCTCACCGCAAACCAGTTCTTAAAGTCTATGAAAAACGGAGTTAAAAAAAAGGGTTTTATTGTGAAAATTAATTGTCGCGAACTAGTTTTACTTCAGTTAATCGCGAAATAAAGTCAATGCAAATAAAAGTTGGTTTACAGTTATCAATTCTCTGATTTTCAATATCATTTTACCTTTGACAAAGATTTAAACAAAATTACTTTCATAATCGATTTTTTTTTTCAAAAAATATGCAAAATTTTTATTTATCAAGTACACAGTATTTTGTCTTTTATTTCATTTTCTATAGTGCATCATTCAGAAAAATTCCCTACTTTTGTATATTTCACAGTATAATAATAATAAAACGCCATAGATTTATTGTTGATTATTGTAGTATTTGATATTGTTCGTTATGTATAATGTATGCCTATGGGTCAACTGTGATGTGATATTGTGTACCAATGGATGGGCCAAGAAATAAATAAATAAAAAAAAATGTAACGATAATACATTTTATGATTTATTTCTAATTAATATATGTATTGAAATAATAATAATTATTGCGTATAAGTGATTCATGTTACTAGAGAAAATTTATAAAATACGACGTCAGTCGTATAAGTGATGCATACTTTGAATACCTGTAAATCCGTAATGGAGCAAGATACATCTGTAATATTTACAGGTTATATTCACCTAAGGTTCTACATCATTTTTCAAGAAAAAAGTCATTTTCGAAAATTTTTGACATAAGGGGGGTTTCTGATTGGAACGGCTCATATAATGATCAGGTTTTGAGGTTAATTCCCACTATGAGATGTGGAGACCAGTCCATGAATCAGAGGTATAAAACGAGGTTATGTGTCATAGAGTGGAACTGACACAAAAAAGACCCCTCACTGCTACAGATCTAAGTGTCTAACTTAGCTGCTATGTTGTAAATATCTATCTCTATTGAATAGACAGCTATCCCAGCTGCTAAGTGTTAGATTTTGTTTAAAGATCTATCAGTAAAAACATATTGTTGGAACAAATAAAGTTTATTTTAAGCGAAATATGTATGTTTATTTACCATGAATTCATTAAGATGTAGAAAATAGCTCAACTGTTTGTTAAAATTTTCACTGGGTGTGTTAAAAAAAAATTACACCAATGCTCGGCGCACAAAATTAGTTGGGGAAAATGTGTTTGAGTAATGTGTAACAATATATTCGAGAAGTGGTATAATTCAGATGTGCATACTTAAAAAAAATTTCAATGAACGTTCGAAAAATCTTATCAGGTAAATCACAAAACTTTTCCAAATCACTGACATAAAAACTTGAGACTTCTCAATTTCATATAACAATTCCCTACGATTAGTTAAAGTTTAGTCAATTTGACTTTCATTTAAGGTTGTTTTTTCAATTAAATTGGAATTCATAAACTTATTTGCCTTGTCATTGCTAAATTACTTATTTAAAAACATTCTGATTGTACACACAAGTACTCTGAAGTTGATACATTAAGAAGATGCTTGAGTTTTTGATTGACAATATCTATGTGTGTGGTATTTGGAGACGAAGTCTTCCAACAATATATTGAGAATTCCATGGGTACCAATTGCGCTGCGATATTATCAAAGCTATTTTTGTATTCAAATGAACCACAATGTCTTCAAAATATTATACATGAGAAGAAGAAAAACACTTGCTGTGGCCTTTACTCGATAATTAGATACATGTACATCGACGACGTTTTATTAAATTAAATGTAATATACCCTTATCACCTGCATACGGATTTATATCTCTCAGTTGATTCAAACATAAGATCATGTTCACACATGAACGATTTATAAAACGGGGAACGTTATTTACGAACAAGCTGATGAAACAAGAATATGAACAGTCTCGTTTAAAGTCATCTTTTCGTTCTATGGTCGGTACAATGACCTTGTCAGCTAAAACAGTTATAAAGAATGTGGAGATAACAAACGGTATTCAAGATCAAAAGTCCATAAAACAATACAAAAGAGGAGCAGAGCAAACACGGACCTCCAAAGATCAGAGGTGGGATCAGGTCCCATGGAGGAGTGAAGCATCCCCTGCCGACCGTTCTCACCCACTGTGTGCTCCTTGTCATGATAGGGAAATAACGGAGACGAATTATTAAGTCATATGCTGACTGAAATTTTTTCATACTAATTGTTAGGCCATTATTTAGACATTGAATTGTCATCGGAATTTTTCGATATTTTCAGATCATGACAAGAGGCACATGGCGGGTGTGACCAGTCGGCAGAGCATGCTCACTCGTCCATGGCACCTGATCCCACCTCTGATGTTTTAGAGGTCCGAGTTTGCTCTGCTTCAGATTTGCATTGCTTAAATGCACTTTTGAGTTTGAATACAATGTTTGTTATCTCAATTTAGTCCATACTATGCACTGTGGAAAATTTCATTCTGTTATACGAATTCATGTGGTCACGCTATATTTTTCGAGCACTAAATACTGATAAGGAGACAGTCTAATGTATTTGGCCTTTTTACCGACAACTATGAGGGTCTGTTATATTCTTTATTGTATCTTTCTATATATAATTTTTGTCTGTCATATTGAGGCTACTAAAAGATCGGGTAAAAGACTTCTACTAGATGACCCAGAAGTGCTAAGGTCCCAATTATCAACCCTTGAAAAACGTGTGGAGGATCTAATGAAAACATTTCGAAATCAGGAGACTGCCATTTCTCATCTGCAAGCAAGAAACAATGAGCGAGATCGAGATTATGAAATACTATCTAAAGAACTTCAAACCGTAAAGTTGCAATTGAGAAATCTGAAAAATGGTAGATATACAGTAAATAACTTTAACTTTCAAATATATACGTAAAGATCCATAAAAAGTCGTTTCATTGATTTGAGCATGTTGAAAAAAAAGGTTGTTTTATAATGAAAAAAATCATTTTTTA